ACCTTTTAGGTGGTTTTTTTGTTTTGTTTTGGTTTTTTTTTTATTTTTTTATTGTAATTGGAAAAAATTCTAGACACAATGGTAAAAAAATTTATCACTTTTATTGAAAATTTTCATGCAAAACAAAGTCAAACGAATGGTATTCGGTATGGTAACTTTTTTTAAAAAAAAATTCAATAGGAACAAATTCTAGATCCAATAGTAAAAAAAATATTACTTTAATGGACAATTTTCATGAAAAACGAAACCAAACGGACATCAACCTTTCAACATTTTGTAGGTGGAAAATTATACAAATCAAACACAATTAATTACAATTTTCAGTAAAACAAATTTTAGACAGTTCAATTCCATGTAATTCATTTTCTTTCTACCCAAATTCTACTTTTGCAATCAAAGGGACCTTAAGATATTTTTATATTAAACATTTTAAGTTAAAGATTTAATGTATATAACGAAACGGCAAGGCGTATGAGAGAGATTTTAACAGTAGTTTTTGTGCCAATTAAGGTTTTGTTGTAGGCATAGACATAAACAGATTAACTTTATCCATTCGTTAAAAGTTTTAAATCTTTTCATCGTTCATTTATAAAAATTGTGTCTATTTCACGACAAATTTAATTCGACAAACAAGTGAATTGTCGCGTCAAAGTTAAAAATAATTTTTATCTCCATTTGGAAATTAAAATTTTTAAACAAAATTTATTGCTTTTTCAATGTGACGATCTCAAGTCTCTACTCATCGTATTTGAGATGGTCGTACAATACTAATGCACACAAATAATGTTATTCATCTCCATTTAACCTATCATTTAAAGTCATCTAAACTGTGTGTGTAACCCCAATTGGATGAATAACATTACTCAATGCACACGCATATTTTCTTCCAAGTGTTCAAGAAATCCGTAACCAAAGGATGAAGGATCAGTTCAACATGTCCACACTAATAAGAAGAAGGTTTAAATTTTCTCTATAAAAAGTAACAATTTTTTTTTTATTATTATATTATCACAAATACGTGTACATCCAATATGATTTAAAATATCATTTTCAAAATGTACGACCCAATAAGAAAACAGTGATTTTTAATTTTTTATAACAATAGATAGAAACATATAGTTTAAGAAATTCAAGATTCACGCCGTGCGAATAAAAAATTCA